TTTTTTTTTTTTGTTACTGTCATCTAATGCTTTTATGCGTTTAGCTTCTTTTTCCCCGTTACTGTTCAGTTTTCCACTCGCCATCTTTCTAAGTCATCTTTGACTTTTGACTTTTGAATTGCAGTAGTTTCCGGCAGTTGGAATTCAATATTTGTTACAGGGACAGTATCAGCAGAAGGATTTCTTGCTTATTTTTCGTTTTACAGCGTTTCAGGTTTGAGTTGTGATGCGCTGGTCGCAGATGAAATGCTGCTCTTCAGGTCCTCACTGAGATTCAAATTGTTGCTTTCGTTCTGAGATTCAAATTGTTGCTTTCGTTTATCATACCATTTTGTCGCTTGTGTTTAACATTTCATTTACGATTTTATTCTATGCAGAAACAGTAGAAATAAACTATTTTACTGTTTTTCGTTATCCTGCTGGGTTAATGGTGATCGAACTAGTGTTTTTTTGGTTTGGATGCTTTGCATGGAAAGTGTCGTGTACGAGTTTTTCGGTCCTTCAGATTGAGCAGTAGTGAACTGTGTTGAATCGAGCTGGGTGTTAGATATCAAAGATCATCTCTCATCTTCAAGTTTATTTCAGCACTGTTAAGCAACCTCTCTGCCGGATTAACGTTTTTTTTCTACCAGCAGCTATGCGCTTTAAATTATATGGCTGCGTTCTAGGCATTTCGTTTTTGTTTTTTTTAATATCTGAAAAAGTTTATGCAAATTTTGATAATACAGATGCAGAACTATAAAGGTCAGGTTACAAGGTCTCATGCTTCTGAACATACGTGGTCTTGGAATGCAGGTTAAAAAAAAAAAGCCGTAGTGGGGCCTTTTGTGGCACCGCCAAACGTCAGCATTAAACCTCTGCAACTCTCAGAATATCAGTTGTGATTATGAGTAAGGGTTGGAAGAACACCGAATGCTCACTTTCGCACGTCTTAATTTGAGATATGATTTTGAAAAAAAATGATGTGTGCGAAGAAAAATCTTCATTTTTGCGACAGGCAGTTTGGAAACCGTAACTCTGCTTCCACTAAAAAATGCCTTAACCGGTTTTTGGTGTCTGACTCGTGTAATCTTTCATACTCTGACCGCATTTCAAATTCTTAATTTTCTTGAACGTTTGTCTCTTTTTAAAATGGCATTGACTGTTCAGTTCTTTTCCTGGTCTGTGTCTCTGTGTCCATACGCTCTGGCACTATGAGTTCTTGCGAGACCGAAGTAATGCGAATCGGGAAGAAGTTTGAACGTATGGTACAAGGAACCAAATCGGTTTGTTGGTTTTGTTGTATAGTCAATTGATTGAATTTGTGATGGATTCATGATGGAAAAATGCGCTAGTTTTGTTGATGGTAAGTCAATTTAATTGTAGATGGAAAGTGCAATGGAATTATTGGAGGCACTTTCATCGCTCCCGATCAGCATTGAAATCCTAACGGTACGTGACTATTCTCTAGGGCAAGAATCTTAGTTTGAAATTGAAAGTATTTTTGTAGAAAACAAGAATTGGTGTGATTTTAAATGATCTTCGAAAAAAGACTAACGACGAGCGAATATCCAGGAGAGCAAAGAGTCTCATCAAGGTAAGGTTATGCGCTCTTTGCTTCGTTTCAAAAAGTTCCTTTTTCAATTTTTTAGAGTTATGAGGCATTCAGTTAAAGTTGTGCCTTATTGTAGACATGGAAAAACCAACTAGGAAATAAGGAAGGTAAAGAATCGTCGAAGGACAAGATGTCTCGCAACGAGTCTGCATCTTCGAATCTGTCGGATACTTCTACTAAGTCATCTTCAAATAACGTTTCTGTGCCTCGACAACCGTCAGATCCAACTTCATTTGCCACTAAAGTTTTTTGTGCTGATGAGGTGTAAAAACGCTTTATTTCTAGAAGAATTTTCAAAATGACTTGTATGGTTGATCGTTAAAAAATTTGTTCTAGTAACTTCATTAATAATTGCTCAACCATTATTGACTCAATTCTAAGTCTTAAATGGTATTCAGGTGAGAAACAAATGTACTTTGATGATTTTGAATGCCTTGAAAAACGGCCCGTTACCCGACGGTACATTGGATCCTGAGGATCTTGCAGTTCGTACCGAAGCAAAGCTTTATGAAGTAAGTCACTATAGGAGTTATGCTTTGATTCATTTTTAAGGCGACTTCTTCCAATTCCTTTCTTTCATACTTTTCCGTCTTTATATTTGTTCATAATTTATCCATGCTTTTTAGGGATTTTTTAAATGACTTTCTGCTCATTTTTTGTTTTTAGGTTCATCGTTCTACAAATGAAAAGTACAAAGCTGCTGTCAGAAGTCGAGTTTTTAATCTAAGAGATAAAAAGAATGTTGCACTGCGAGAGAATGTCTTGACTGGAGTAGTAAAACCTGAAAGGTCTCAGGGCTGTTGCTACATTTGTTAACTCTTTTATTAACAACAGCTTTCAGTGGTTACCATTTTTTGTGTTCAGAAAACTTTCCTGTTGAGAATTTACTTTTTCTGATGTTTCGTTACGGCTATTTTTTATTCAAGTGATTTTAGATTTGCAACGATGACCAGCGAGGATATGGCTTCTGATGAAATGCGTAGCATGCGAGAGAAATTTACCAAAGACGTAACACTTTATTTTTTATTCTACCCTTTTCATTTTGGCTTTCGCTTCGAATTTACATGGATTGGATAGGAACGCAAGAATGTAACGGAAAAATGCGAGTTTTGATTGCAGCGGAAAAAACATTTATTGTTCTTAGACAAGTTTTCTTCAGGCTATCAATGAACATCAAATGGCAGTACAGGAAGGCACTCCGTCTGACATGTTCAAGTGTGGCAAATGCGGTAAAAAGAATTGCACTTACAACCAAATGCAAACAAGAAGTGCTGATGAGCCTATGACAACTTTTGTTTTTTGCCGAGAGTGTGGAAATAGGTGGAAGTTTTGTTAAGTTTTCTTACCGGATTTATTTTTGGCTCATAATTGGTCGCAGAACTTTGGTTTAAGATACTTTGAGGAGACCCTAAAACTAGTGCCATTAAAGTAGAAAGATAGAGTTATTAGTTAGAAAGTCAAACTTTCATTTCTTTTTTTTTTTCTTCTCCTACTTTGTTACCTAAGTTTTTGCATTAATTTTGGCTGAGGACAACAGAGTAATGCGATAGCACAGTTTCTTTTTTATTTTTTTTATTTTGGACTTTTATATTATTCGTCCTTTGAGGACTGTGAAGGCTCCTTGGTTGAGTTTATTTATGATATATATATTTTTGTATAAAACTTCTGTGAGCTTCCTTGAATTATACAGTTTGCTTGTTGTTATTATACTTTTTTTTCTCAGTTCTTAGTATCGTTGCTGTTAAGTTATAGGTCTTCGTTCATTAGGAATCATTGCTTCTTGTTTTGGTTCACTGTGTATTTCTTAGTTCTCTTTATCTCTTTTGGTCTACACGAAAGGTTGCAAGAACTTTGTTCACATTTTCTGATGGAGTCTCGTATTTTTAAAGTTGTTGATGAGTTTTACAGTTTGTTATTGTTAGTTGTGTTTTATTCTGGTTTTTTAGTTTTTAGGCATTCTTATAAATGATGTATAGAAAGGTAGGAAAGTTTTTTCTGTTTGGTTTTGCATAACTTCTTTAGGCAGGTTTGTTCATTCGATTACATTTTGCAAATGACCTCGCCAAGCGTCTGGACGATTCGTTAAATATTTTATTTTTTTCCTCTGGTTTCATGGCGGGACAATGATATAAATAAGGTTATCGCGTGGCGATATGTGAAAGGACAAAAGAAGTTGCTTGCAACCTTCTCCTCGTATTAATAAAATTTTTCACAAATATTTTCTAGTTATCGGGTTGAACTGAAAGCTCTTGAGTGGCGTCATTATCCTGAAACTATCTTGGTTGTGAAAATCAGCTGGGTTTGCTTTCTCTGTTTTCTAGCAGTTGTCAGGCATTATAGCTCTCGCCTTGGAATCGCTTTTACTATTGGGAAAATCGGTGAAAGTAGATGATCATTTTTGCGTTTTTTTGTAGTGATAACTTTAATCAGCTTGGTGAAATGCAAGTTAGGTGTTGTTTTTTAAAACTACAGCAGTTCTCGAAGTTATTGCTGCTCGTTATCTTAAGGTATAAGCAAAGCAGCTGGTTTGTTATGGAGCGAGAATCAGTGTTGGTTTTTTGATGAATGAATGGGAGTTGCTTTGGGAGATTGTTTACCAGTTGCTTTTTGGTGTGTACAAAACGCAAACTATTTGAAAATTTAAAATTGGAGCGAGCGGGAGGTTGGACTTCCGGTTCGTCGGTGAGGATTCAGTAGTAAAAGTTATTTTGAGAGGCTTAATTAAAATTTTTAGAGACAGTTCTTTTAGGGCTGCAGAAAGTGCAGATCCTGTTTTTGAGTTTTTTTCATATCTAAAAAAAGAACAAAATGCAGTGAAAAGTGAAAGAATTGAGTACCGCTAACAGTGCGGTAAGAAACGGATCAAATATGAGGGAGCAGTGTACAAGTAACAGGTGATTTAATGCATGCTAGCTGGGGCAAGCACTTCGTTTTCGAAAGATTAGGCTTAAAGACTTATGGTTGGTTTCGGTAATCCATTTTGCTTGCGCGGAGTCAAAAAGTTCAGCTGTAATATAGTCTTGGATCTAGTGATCACTCAGTGTTCTCGTCTTATAGCAGTAAGTTGCAAAGATTAGCCTAAGGCGGTGGAAATAAACTTAATATATAGTTTCTTTGGTAAACCTAATCGCTAAATTAAGGAGTTTTGGGAAGTTTTGTAAGTTATTTGCGTTAAAGGTAGTAAAAATGGTACTGCTTGGAAACGTTTCGTTCGTAATATCCCCTAGGTTTTACAAAAATTAAAATTTTTTGGCTTACCACCTTGGATGGATGCCGGTGTAGGATGGAAAGGTATTTTGAGTAGCAGTTGGGCAGTTCATCGGAACGGGTGTGAAATTACAATGGCCATCTCAGTCGTTTTAGAAAATCCGCATTAACGTTGAGTTGATTCCGCTGCGCAAGGGCTCTTCCTTCCCCTTCAAAATGTTTTTTTTCCAAAATTTACTGGAACCGTTGACTATGAAATCTGGCTAAAGACAGTTACATATCCGAACCTTTAAGAACGTTTGGAGAAAACTGGAATTGTCAAATACGTTTTCGCCATTGAATTAGTCAAGAAGTTCCGTTTTCCGATAGCTAAACGTTTCCAGAAAACTTGCTGGTCAAGCAAATACTGACTTGTTCCATATAAATTGTGGCAGCCAGCACGACATTGTGAACTAGGAGAAACTGCTTCAATTTTGATGTTGTAGCAGCTTGCTGGGCGACTCGTACTAGCGCTTAATGGGAGTTGTAAGATTAAGTGTGCTTTAATAAACTATGAAGAAGATTTATGCGCCAAGTTCCGGTTACGCTTG